TTAATTCTGTTGACAATTTGAAAATCTAAAACATAAATAAAAGGTCTTAAACAGAGCCGATTAAAAAAAAAAAGAATAGGGAGAATAGTCAAATAAGATCTTCTACTATTACAGAATCGTCACATAAGGTCATGTACTCAATAAAATTTCAAATAAATACGTCTACTTATAAAAAGCAATTGGATGAGTCATAACGGCCCATTGACAACCTATGAACCTACTAATCCTGACTTTATCTTACGTGTTGTTATTTGAAATAATTACATAAATATGACCAAAATAAAGATGATTTACAAAAATATGACTAATGACTAGAGTAGTAATGAAATCATAGTAATTCATGTTTAAATTTTGAGGTTAAGTTACCACAACACCACATTGTAGTAATGAATAGTCATATTTATGTAAATATGTTTTATTTTAGTAATATTCTCGTAAAAAACTCTTGTTATTTTTGTCTTGTATTTAAGCCAATTCCGACTAAATATTCCACATTAGTCTTATAATCTGTTTTAAAAAGATAATCGGACGTACGCTAAAATCGGGATTACGAGATTGTCAAAAGGTCTTTAGGACTCATTTGATTGCTTTTTATAACTAGACGTATTTATATGACATTTTATTGAGTACATGGCCTTATGTGACGATTTCGTAATAGTAGAAGGTCTTATTTGACTCTTTTCTCAAAAGAATAAATACATTAATTTTAAGTAGGATCGATTGTAGTTTATAAAAGCAATGCAATTGTTGTTGGATCAATAAAAAACACGCTTCTTCAGTCTTCAGGGTTTAAGACATTGTATTCATTGTAATTATAACTTAACAAATTTATATAATTATTTTAGAGCCGCTGGCTCTTAATTCCCATCCCAATTATTTGTTTATTTCAAAATTTCAATAAACTATATATGTGTTTCTAATAGTAGTTTTAGAGGGCGTCAATTTTGCAGTCTTCTTGGGTGAGTTTTCTTGGCTGCCAAACGTTTTGTTTCCTTAAAAACCTTCATTGTTTGGAGACTTCATACTTTAGAATCTCAGCGGTCAATAAATCATTCTTAACTTATGAATTCAATAGGTAGTAATTTTTATTTTCATTTATCCTTTCAGTTGTAACTAAAAGAAAGTTTAGTGTTGTTATATGTGACAATTTAAATGTTTGTCATATTTATTAGTGGAAAAAAGGTTGCCTATGAAACGATTATTGATGATTTGCTTCATTCTACGAGAAACATTTTAGGGGTTTTTACAAGAATATTACCAAAATAATACATATTTACATAAATATAACTATTCATTACTACAACGTGGTGTTGTGGTAACTTAAGCTCAAAACTTGAACATGAATTACTATCATTTTATTACTACTCTAGTCATTAGTCATATTTATGTAATTATTTCCTATTTTTAAGTAATGTTTTTTCTTTTTATTTAACACTCGCGTTGTTGCTTAGCTTTTGCCCAAATATGTGATTTAAATAAGGGAAAAGGTGCAAATAAGCCCTCGAACTAACCGAAAAAGTGCAAATCACCCCTTTTATAGGAGGTTCTGTCTAGACGTCGCAATTTGGGGCGGTTAGCGGTATAATTTTTTATGAATTTTTTTGAGAATCTTCTTCATTAAGTCTAGTTTACCCATACCAAATTTCACAAAAACATTCAATCGGGAAGGCAGTCAAATGATTTTTTGTAATGTATTGCATTGTTTAAGTGCGCAGTTATCTTCCAACATTTATTTGACTACCTTCACAATTGAATTTTTAACTTAAATTTGGTATGGGTAAACTAGACTTAATGAAGAAGATGCTCAAAGAATTTCATCAAACAATTCCACCGGGAACCACATCAAATGGTGACGGCCGGACAGAGCCTCCTATAAAAGGGGTGATTTGCAGTTTTTCGGTTAGTTCGAGAGCTTATTCGCCCCTTTTCCCTTTGAATAATAACAAATTGATTATCACCTTTATTTTATGAATTTTATTGAATACTTTGATACTCCATATGATTCATATTTCAAATAAGTATATGATTTATGATTTGTTTTGAATATAAGCCCAAAATAAGTTATCCCCCTACGCCGAGAAATGCGGCCCTTTTTAGTACTCCGTATATGTGATTTTATTTTTATTGATAAGCGTTCAATATTGCATTTGGAATATAAGCCTCCGCTCTTATGTGACAAGTGCTGCAATTCAGGCACATAATGTATGAGGAGGTGCTACCGTGCTAATAAGTGGATATAATAGTGCATACACGACATATACACCTAGGGGTGGGCAAAAATACCGAAAAATCGGTATACCGCATTTACTGTACTGAAAAATACCGGAATATTGATATACCGTCATTTTCGGTACGGTATGATACTGTACCAATTTACTCCCCCTATCCCGAAATAATTGTCCTACTTTGACCTCCACACAGATTAAGAAAATGAAGTTGACTTCACACTGTAGCGACACTGTTTGACACTGTAGCGACACTGTTTGGCACTGCAGCACACTGTTTGGCACTGTTTTGAACTGTTTGACACTGTTTTGCATAGATTTGTTTATCAAATAAGGAAAGTTTCATAGTAGGACAATTATTTTGGGACATCCATTTTGGGAAAGCAGGACATTTATTTCGGGACGGAGGGAGTATTTCGGTAAGGTAACGGTAAATGTTTTCAAATACCGCGGTATACAAGTATAATACCGTACCGACTCCCTATCCAACAATTACTTTAAATTCTAAAATATTGTAAAAGTCCATTACAATTTTGAAACCCAATATTAATACTTAGGTTGGTTACAAATACTAAAATACAAAAATAAAGGCTCAATTTTCCAAACTCACTATAAACTTCTAGATTTCTACTACGTAACATTTAAACAAACTAACACCAATGACTAATGAGTAATGTATTAATGTTCAGAAACCAGTCCATCTTCACGATGGCTGAGCCACTGAGTAGCTGACGAGTGAAGGCGGATAGACTTATGTGACGAGTGTATCTACATAAGGATTTCGCGATTTGAGTCACACAACTTTGTCCGAAAGTCTTATTCAAATATTTTTTATTTAACTATAGAAATGACTAAATACACAATGAGTCTGTTTGATAGCACGAAAATCGGTTGTTTTGGCTGATTCTGCTGAAATTTATGATGTTCTGGCTGAAGTGGCTGCATTGACTGATAAGTAGCACAATGTGTTATTTTTTAATAAGTAGCATGTTAAACTGCTTAAATATACTAATAATAATTATTGTTCAATATTGAATATGACATCAATAAATTATTAATTGTATTTTGTAACATTCTAATAATGGATTAAATATGTCGCTAAAAACACCGATTAAGTATATGTTGTTAGTCTATAATAATTTGTTGTGTTGGGAGACATGCATGATAATTTACCGATGTCGTATCGTTACCGAACCAAAACTTCGATATATCGAAATACGGTATACCAAAACATCGATAAGGTAACGGTATATAAATTTTGTATACCATACGGAATCACTCCTCACCCATTTACCCTCGTTGACGGCGGATCACAATTCATGCAGGCGGCTGCCGTCATGGAGAGCTTTTGGCTACAGGGCCTAGCCCATTTTTCTAAAACGTCTACAACTTTTTAATTTGAACACTAATTTAAAAAAATATATATATTGATAATTATAAGTTTTATTATCTTTTGTCACTAATATTAATTAGTTATATAAAGTTGAAGGAAATATAAAGTTTCAATTGCTGGAAGTTTTGGAATGCAAGATTTTTCTCAAGTAAATTCATGTGCTAAAATCAAGATTCATGATTAATTTTTGTACGTCTTTCATTTATTCTTTTTAAACATGGCTCCAAAGTAGAAACACTAAAATTAACGAAAAAATTATTCACACAAAAATTAACGAAAAAATTATGTATAATGATGAATGTAAAGATTTAATTAATTAAAAAAATTGTGTTGCGTGAATATATCGATGTTACTAGATTGCAAAAAAATGAATGGATCGTATGAATACTAAACTTTTCATATAAATGATGTATAATGGTTTATTGACTTATAGTTTTTTAATTATCCTGAAATATTTTGATCTTGTTTGATACTGGTTTGATTTGTTCAAATATGATCATTTTTAATCTGATAATGTTTGATGTGTTTAAGACTAATCTGGTGTATTTAAGACTAATCGGATCTAATTTATTCTAAGACTGAAAATGGTCCAAATTAATACGAAGTACATTCTAAAAATTGTCATTTTTTATTTAATACCAAAGGAAAATAACACTTCACCCGTAAAAGATCTGGGAAGGTGGGTGTAGTCCATTGGATGATCATCCACCCCTAAGTCTCTCCTTTGTGGGAGGTCTTGGGTTTAATTCCCGCCAAGAGGAGATGAGGGAGGTCTTGCTCCCAATGATTCTTCCTACCTTCACGGAGTTGCTCAGCGGCCGAGAAGGGAGAGGATGGTAATGAAGGTAGCGGGTTCGTGTGGTGGGAGGAGCAACCTGAAAGGTGATGTGAGTTCTGCTGGATTCGTCCTTTGGAGTCAGTACTGACGAGGCTGACTGTGATCAGATCCGGATTTAACTGTCTAGGGGCTTTGGAGGGTAGTTCATAGATTTCAGGATTATGAGAGCGTAAGCCCCGACACCTGGATTATCAAAAAAATTACTCCCTCCGTCCCGGAATTATCTTCATTCTTTCCTTTTCGGTTCGTCCCAAATTTATCTCCTTTTTCCCTTTTTGGTAAAGAATATGTGATTCACAACAATTCTTACACATTTTTCTCTCCTCTGCATAACTCTCCACCACACAAATCTCACTATATTAAAACCCGTGTCCGGTCAAAACCGGAGTTAAATATGGGACGGCGGGAGTAACAAGAACAAGAAAAACAAGGTGGGTACCCAATTCCCGACGTAATGTTATGCCGTCAAGAAATTCGACGAGACACGTCATGGAAATGTCTCCACGTTACCCCGCCCCTATCCTATCGGTCACTGCTTAAATAACAATTTCTCACCTTCCGCTTTTTATTTACGTATTTGTTTATTATTTATATCACTCTCCCCTTTCTTTACTCGCACCCCTATATTTCTTCATTTTCCAAACGCATTTATTTATGCTGGTAAATGTAATTAGTTTGGATTAGACGACAAATTATTTCTTCTTTCGTTTCTTATTTCACTTTTGTTTATTTGTAAGATTTAAGAATGCCTCCTAAAGCGAAGGAGGCTGCGGCGGCGGCGGCCGGTGATGGAAAGCTGCGAGAAATTCGGAAGGAGCAAATGCATTTCAGAGGTGTGAGGAAGAGGCCATGGGGCAGGTACGCGGCGGAGATCAGGGATCCCGGCAAGAAGAGCCGCGTTTGGCTCGGGACCTTCGATACGGCGGAGGAAGCCGCCCAGGCGTACGACAAAGCGGCCAGGGAGTTCCGAGGAGCCAAGGCCAAGACCAATTTCCCGGTGCCGGATGATCTCAATTTTGCATCTCGATTTGAGCCCAAAGGGGCGGATCGCCAGAGTCCGAGCCAGAACAGCACCGTTGAGTCGTCGAGCCTCGACGGCGGTCGCATCTCATCCCCACCGGATCTCACCGCCGCATTCGCGTATCCCGGAAGCCAGATGTTTTATTCCAACGCGCTCGCGCGTGCGATGGCGATGAATCCACCTCCGCCGCCGCCTCCTCAGCCTCTGAATCGGCGACGAATCGAGACACTAAATTTATTCTGTGGCGAGACAAATTCTTCGTCCGTTGTTGAATTGAGAGGTGGAACTGCCATCATCGATCTCAACTTACCACCGCCTGAATGTTATCTGTAGGTGTAATTTCATTTCGGATTAAATTATAGGACGGCTGAGGATCGCCGGCGGCCGATGACTGAATACATTGTGCCCAAGTTCTGCGGCTGTTGTTTAGCTAGCAGCCATCAATTTGATGTGCATATTCTATCATCTTACAAACTTCAACCTGGATAGGTCTCCAGATTTTGTTTTACCAATAATCATAATCATAATACTCCGTATAATAATACTAATATCAATATTACGGATTAATTCATACTAGTAATACAAAAGTGACAGTTTTTGTTTGTATTCCCAGTAATGTACGTCTTGATTATGAAATTTAAAAGTAAAAAAGGAGTAGTTTGTATGTGAAACCCATGTTCCCCTAATGAGATCCTGATTATACGTTAGTTAGGTGGCGGAAGATGCGGCTGCGGTGGTGGTGAGGGGCAGGGGAGTGGGCGGTAGGGTAAACGAAACGACACGGACAAGAATAGTGTCGGCCGCCACATGGTGCTGTGCTTTGCCGATCTGTATGTACTCCGTATATTTTGCATTGGGATGTACGGAGGACTACTTTCCCCCATATTTGTTCTCTTATTTTAATTCCGCAGGATTATTGACGCAGTTGCTAAGAGGTTGTGTTTAAGATTTGATTGGAATAAAATCAAGGCTAAAGGGTCATCCCTGTACTCATATCAATAGCTCAATTGGGTACCCGAACTAAAAAAGGTCCAATCCAATCCTCCAACTCTTCAAAATCGTTCAATTTTTTCGTTTAGCCGGTAAACTCCCGGTACTCAATTGAGCTATTGATATGAGTACAGGGACCTATTTGACCCTTTAGCCTTTGAAAAAACGAAAACATTGAGCGATTTTGAAGAGTTGGAGGATTGGATTGGACTTTTTTTTAGTTCGGGTACCCAATTGAACTATTGATATGAGTACAGAGACCTATTTGACCCTTTAGCCTAAAATCAATTATAAAGACTATATATGTTTTGAGAAAAAAAGAAATTTTGGGACAACACAAGAAGAAAATTAGGATAACCAAAATGGCACAAATGGATTATTTTTTTTTGCGGAGTGCTTTAAAAAGGTTAGAATTATTCAACAAAAAGTTGATTGTTTAATTAATAATAGCGGTCAAGGGAGAAATTAGGTATAGGGGTAAGGGGGCATTGGATACTAGTACGTAGTATTAGATACGAAATACGTAGTAATAATAAAAAAAGATTGAGTAAGAACTAGCTGATAGAAACCTCCTTTTGAGACGTTTTCCAAAGAGAATTATTTGATAAAAAATTTGAGACCTTGTTTTTCATGTGTCCTAGATTATGTTTACCAAATTTTAATTTTAATTGAATAGGGAAGTCAACTAAATAAATTTCAATTTCCATTTTAATAAATTATAAATTATGAATAGGGAAGTCAGCTAAATTTTGAGATGTTTTTTATATTGGCACATTGTTTTTCAATAATTTATTAAATTGACTATTCGATTGTATTTTAAACTAAAATTTAATGTAAATAATATACTCATCATGAAGAACATTCTCACAAAATAATACGAAGTATCAAAAAAGTGCACCCGGAATTACCTCAAACATAGATGGTCGGGCGGTGTATCCTGTCATATATTTTTGACAGAATCATTCCTTACGAAATAATTACATTCGAAGTAGTTATATGATTTAAAATAGTACACAATATATTTTATTCCTAAAATGTGTTTAAAAATAATTTCATTAAAGTTCGCCAAAATAGGAATGCATAAGTCCTATCTTGAGAATAAAACAATGATAATCTTATTTATGAATTTTATTTTTATTGTAGTTTTATTTAAGAAATTTTCTCTTCATTGTTCGTTCTTGACCCCCTATGACTATTTTAGCTCCGATCCGCCATTGATGGTGGTTTCTTAGTAGACCTGGACAAAATCGGGCCGGCCCGCCCAGCCCGCCCGCACAAATGGACGGGCTTGGGCATATATATTTACTCACCGGGTCGGCTCGAGCCCGGCCCGCAATAAGATATGGGCGGACTTGGGTTAGGGTGTAGGCCCGTTCAGGCCGATAAGCCCGGCCCGCTACATTTAATATATACTAATTTATTTATTTATTTGCATATACACATGTATATTTATATTTACTAATTTTTCTTTATACATATTTATAGTTTATTATGTTTAAATTTAAATTTTTAGTTCTTAACAACTAGCCCAACCAATATAATATCTATTTTTGTATTTAAAGATAATACTTTGTGCTTAAATTTTAAATTTTAGATATAGTTTGTCATTATTATTTTTGTGTAAGTATTTTTTTTGTATGTGGTGAAAGACGTATAAACATTATAAGCGTATTAATTATTTTCTAAATGTTGTAATATTATTTTTAAAGTATTTAAAAAATCATATAATTTTGAAAAAATTAAAGTATTCCCGGGCCGGGCGGCCCGGTGGACTACCCGGCCCGCTCTTATGGGCGGGTATGGACATAGGGTTAGGCCCGTTTTTGTGGGCTGGGCTGGGCCCGCCCACACATGATGGGCAGAAAATTTATAAAAAGCCCAGCCCGAGCCCGGCGGGAACAGTGATGCTCGAGTTCTGTCCGAAACAGAAACCCTCAAGGTCTTCTGTTCGCAACAGAGACCCTCGAGGTCTTCTGTTCGCAACAGAGACCCTCGAGGTCTTCTATTCGCAACAGAGACCCTCGAGGTCTTCTGTTCCAACAGAGACGCTCGAGGTCTTCTGTTCGCAACAGAGACCCTCGAGGCCTTCTGTTCGCAACAGAAGGTCTTCTGGTCCGTTACAACATTAATGCCCAACGTTCTTCTCTTTTAATGCTGCGTTAAATGGACAGTTTATGGACGATTCAATGCCCAACGGACTGGTCATTGATGTCCAACGTTCAGGTCCATTAACACCCCATTTAACACACAACAAATCCTCCTATAAATAGCTGGCAGGTGGTTTGCAACAAAAAAAGAACGCACAATACATTTCTCACGTATTCTTGAGCTAAAAACACCTACAGCTACTCCCAAATTTCCTCTGTGTTCATACTTGGTTCTCGTTCGCTGGAAGTCTTGTTTGTGTGCTCAAACATTAGTTCGTAGTCATCGTATCCTGGGAAACGATTGTTGCAACGCTCCTAGCACCGTGGGAGGCAACAAATACGTTTTAAGGAAATCGTGCGTAGCACGAGCTTTGACTAATTCTGCTTCATCTCCTTTCTTGTTTTTCTCTAGTCATTTTATTTAATTAATTTATTTTAATTATTTTTCTTTATTTTCCGAAACACACCCAACAATCTTAAAACGTATTTGTTGAGCTTGTATCATACGGATACAATCTTAAAACGTATTTCTTGATTGTTCTACTGAGGTGAACAATCTTAAATCGTAGTTTGTCACTTTGGTGAACGGACTTATTTTTTTGTGTTTTCAGAAAAACGTTAAAGAACGAAAATGACTTCTCAAGAAAACGAGATTGGTGTTTGGCAGAATGTTCTGAACGACAATCACTCTGAAAGCGGAGCACCGGTGAACAATAGTTCACAACGCGGTGCATCTGCTTTGGCCAACCAAAGGGCTATCCCTATGGTGACCGTGCCAAGCAACTCTGTGGAGAAACCCGAGAAATTCAACGGGTTAAACTTCAAGAGGTGGCAGCAAAAGATGCTATTTTACCTCACTACTCTCGGTCTTGCTAGATTCTTGACCGAAGATGCGCCGGTAGCAACCGGGGGTGAGGTGGATGCGCAATCTTTCAACGCGGTTGAAGCTTGGAAGCATTCTGACTTTCTTTGCCGAAACTATGTGTTGAACGGGCTGCATGATGCTTTGTACGACGTGTATAGCAAATTAGCTACGGCTAAGGAGCTATGGAATGCTTTGGACCACAAATATAAAAGCGAGGATGCCGGCGCAAAGAAATTTGTTGTTGGTCGATTCCTTGATTTTAAAATGGTGGATTCGAAGACGGTCTTGAGTCAAGTTGAGGAGATGCAAATTATCTTCAACAAAATTCGAGATGAAGGAATGACGGTTAGTGAGTCATTCCAAGTGGCGTCAATTATTCATTTTTTGCCGCTGGCTTGGAAGGATTTCAAAAACTACCTTAAGCACAAGCGAAAGGAAATGAACTTGGAGCTATTGATCCTCCGTCTACGGATTGAAGAGGATAACCGGAAGAATGATGGGAAACTCCCAATTGTTCATGGCGCCAAGGCCAACGTGGTGGAGCATGCAAAAGGCTCCAAAAATAAAAATAATGGGAAGAGCAAGCTCGGTCCCAAGGGAGGCGTTTCCAAGACGAAGTTCAATGGAAAATGCTTCAATTGCAACAAGAATGGACACAAGTCCTCGGATTGCAAGGCACCACAGAAGAAGAAAGACTCCCAAGTCAATTTGGTGAAAGGTGGGCAAAAGGATGAAGACATCATCCTAGCGGCTGTGGTTACGGAAGTCAACCTCGTTGGATCCAATTCCAAGGAGTGGTTTGTGGACACCGGTGCAACCCGACACATTTGCTCGAACCGGGAGTTATTCACAACTTTTGAGCCATCAAATGGTGAGAAAGTGTGGATGGGTAACTCGGCTCATTCCGCGGTTGAAGGCGTGGGCAAGGTGGTCCTGAAGATGACTTCGGGCAAAGAGCTGACTCTCAACCAAGTGCTGTTTGTTCCGGAAATACGCAAAAACCTGATATCCGGTTCGTTGTTGAACAAGCATGGCTTCCGCATGGTCTTTGAGTCAAACAAACTAGTTTTGTCTAAGTCGGGAATGTATGCGGGCAAGGGGTATGCATGTGACGGGCTGTTTAAGCTCAATGTAACGACTATTATTATTAATAATAATAAAATCCCTTCTGCTTACTTGCTTGAGTCTTCCAATGTGTGGCATGGTAGACTAGGACATGTTAATTTTAATTCTATACGTAGATTAATTAACATGGAGCACATTCCTAAATTCACAATTGATGTGAAGCACAAATGTGGAGTTTGTGTAGAGGCAAAACTAGCGAAAACGTCTTTCAAATCAGTTGAAAGAAAAACGGAACCACTTGAATTAATTCATAGTGACGTTTGTGATTTTAAATCAATACAAACACGTGGCGGTAATAAATATTTTATTACCTTTATCGATGATAGCACTCGCTATTGTTACATTTATTTATTAAAAAATAAACACGAAGCAATCGATAAATTCGTTCTTTATAAGAATGAAGTGGAAAACCAACTTAATCGACGGATTAAGACGGTTAGGAGTGATCGAGGTGGTGAGTATGAAGCACCAATTGGTGACTTTTGCGCTAGTGTGGGTATAGTACACGAACGTACCGCACCCTATTCACCTCAATCAAACGGTGTTGCCGAACGA